CATATAATCCAAAGTCAAAATCTTGTTCTGAGTTATACAAGTCTAATTGATATGGGGTGAAGTTAATTCTTTTTACAGTTTCTATTGGAACTTCAATTATTTGTTCAACGGTAGTAATTTTAAACATTTCGGGTTTCAATTGGATATTAATTTCTTCTATGTTTTCAGAAAATTCTCGGTATAAGTCCTTTAATTTTTGTTGTAAGTTTTGCAAAAATGCCATCATTTTTCTTGAGAAATTTTAAGGAATAGGTCTTGTATTTATAATTTTTCTAAATAATCATCAGTAATTAATTTGTACTGCCTTACGTCCTTATTTGATTACAATGCTACATTGTTAATCTCTTTGTTTGTAGTGTTTAATTAAAGATGTGTTAATTGGTAAACTTAATTTATCAGGATCTGCTTTATCTCTGAGTATTACAGTTTTGTCACTAATTTTTCTATGGATATAATAGGGTCCTGTCCATCGTTGAGTAAACTTATCACCATAGACATTTTGTTTGGCAGCATCATATAATATTACTAAATCTCCTTCCTTAAAGGTGGAAACTTTCTCAATCCTTTTGGAATGTTCCTCTTGTACTTGTTGAGCTGTTCCAATATTATCCTTGACAAGTATTAATGCATCAGTAAATGTTCCTACTATTTGGGCAATGCGTCTATTTAAAACTTCTTCATAAGAAACTTCTACTAATTCTTCTTTTGGTAATTCTAGGTGCAAGGGTAATTGAGCTTCTTTCCCATGCAATAAATAAAAGGGACTAAACTTTATAGTAGAATGTTTCAGGGTACGGTAAGCAAATAGGACTGAGGGAATTAGATCATCTCAATCTTCAGTAGTGGAGTTTACACATTTTCCAAATGAACGACATAATGTTTTATTGAATCTTTTAATCAGGCCATTTGTTTGTGGATGATATGATGCAGCGAGTTTATGTTTGAAGCCAACTTCTTCTTTTAATAATCCTACCACCCTCCCAAGGAATGCCTTTTCACGATCGGATATTATACTGGAGGGAACTCCATGTTGACATATTATTTCCTCATAAAGAAAATTGGCTACTTCTTTTGCAGTTGCATTAGTCACTGGTTTCGC